TAGTAACAAGAATTCCAACAGCATGTTGGAACTTTTATTGTGTCACATTAATGGGACTATTTTCTAAGAACACAATGCTTTCTACAATAATAGTGATCTCTTACTAACCATATTTTTTTCCTCTGTCTTCCTTTGATCCACTTTACTGCCTGTAGACTTTCAGCCCTGAAACATCTCTGGGGATCCACTGTCAATTATAGGAAGTCACGCTGTTTTATGGAGCACCTACACAGCAATTTTCAAAAAACAGACAAGTCTTGTAGGAGATACAATCCTCCACAGTAAGGCTGAATGTGGTATTCTATTTGTTACTAAGAGACTGAGGTGAGAAACGATTGTGCATCCTAGGACACATAGATTTGGAAGTGGTCAATGAAGTCTTAGAAACAAAAGATCCACAAAAAACGAGTGAATGAAAATAAGGTAAGCTCGAGACTCCTGTTATTTCAGTGGCATGCACACCAACATAAAAGATCTGGGGTTGTTTCTAATGAGCAGTTATAGATCCTGCAACTTTTACTGTGAAATTTCACAAGTTGAGAAATCCGGGAGAGAATTTAAGAGAATACAGAATGCTGCTTAAAGCTTCAAAGTGTTAAGATCTTATCTTTCTAATGCCTGAGAAAGGGATAAACTAATTACCTGCCACAACAGCACGAACTTACAGCCTTCTGTAGGATACAGTCTTAAATCAGGGTACAAGGCCAGGACATTTGGCTTCATGGTTGATAAACTGCTGGAAAAAATCTTAACAATACTTCTCTTCCTTGCTCAGCAAAAACGTCATGTTGACTGAATCAAAGCCAATATGTACATTCATGAGCTATCTTGCCTTAGCCTTATTTGTAATCTAATTAGGACAGGATAGTATTTATGATGCTATGGATGAGGTACAGCAAGGGTCTCATTTTAAAGTTGGTATTTTGGGCGTTACAAGTCCACTTACAGATCTCTCTCCCGAATGAAACAGCATGTTTTATTTGAAGGCAGGACAAACCTTTCCAGAGAAAAATTGGCAGAGAAAAAACAATACCACCTAAGGATGAGAAAGAAAAAGAACAACAGCTTTAGATATTTATTAGTATTTTCTAAAATCTCTAAACTAGAATTCCAATAAGTATTCAGCTGAACTATTTTGACCGAGTCATCTGAAAGAAAACTACCAGGCTTCAGTTATTACTAATATATCCATATTCCTGAACCAAATACGTGTTTAAGACTCTTCTACTTGGGTGAGGACATGAAATCCTGAAGGTCCACTCTCTTTAATTCAGTGTAGAAAGCTCTTTTAAGTAGCTATCCATTACTATACAAGCCAAGAGAATGCTTGTCAACTGTGTGTTACAGCAGAATAGTCAGAGATGTTGTCAAAATCTGTTAACAAAACCTGTTACAAATACTACCAACGCCTATATTCACGATAGGCCACTTGACATCAAATAGATGCTATCGTTAGTTGTTACAGCATTATTTCACTGGTACTGGTGACCATCTGCTATTTCAGAAAGACTGCCACAGAAGATATTAGCATGACAATGCAGAGCTTCTCTAAATCAGTGTCCTAAGAAATCTTCATCAATTAATCTAAAATTCGTTATTTACGTCATGTAAAATGCTATCTCTTCATCTGAGCACTGATAAACATCAGATAGCTTACAATATTGCCCAACTTCTTATTCACAAATCTCCACATGGGAAGGTCAGCTCAAAAGACTGACAACTAATACACTCATCCACTGGTTTCATAACCCACTCAGCATAGATGCTTATAGAGAAAGCTAGACAGAGTTCAACATCCTGATGATATTACAGAGATTTCTGCAAAGCCCCTATACTCCTGATTTACAGAATTATGACACTCCACATACTTTGCGGTGTCCAAATTTCTCTGTTTATAGTCAAGTTAAATAGATACACAGGAGTGCATGAACAATTATGCTTAATTTTTTGCCTTAGAAAAAGCAACCTGCAGTTTTACACACTTAAGAATATGACAGTAACCTACAAACAAGATTAAGGGAACACTGTAGTAAGTAATGGAAGTGACCTTCTGAGATCTTGCTGCCTTTCTTGATAGCTGCACGAGGAGTCTTTGTTTCACTTAGAGACTAGAAAAAATAGGAAAATAACTTGGTAAATAAATACAGCATAAAAGGACTAATTTCTATTTATACATGTATTTTTAACTGTTTGCCCTATGACAAATACTAGACTGCAGAAACTCATGAACTCTTAGCAGACATTCATTAACTAATATAACGATCACCTATGCTATATATTATATATTCATGAATATTTTACACTTTATTCAGACATTGTGACAGGAAAAAATGAACAGACCCACCACGGACTAAATATCTTAAGAGACCGTCGAAGTGAAACGCATTAGATCATCCCATGCACCCACAGTACATGCTGAACCAATCTATATATTCATTAACACATGGCATGGTGTTAAAATACAAGCCTACACAGAAGCAGTTAAAGCTCTTAGATACCGGTCTATTGAACAAAGTCTGAGTTTTTACCAGTGGTGAATCAGGCTTACCTGATTCCCATTTTTGTACTATGTCACTGAGAACTAAACATACAGGACTGCTGGCTGCAGAACCTCCATCTCCTTCACAATAGAAGCTTTCTCTACGCAAGGATAATTGCACTCTAATCTACAACTCTGACTGCTTGAAGCTTGCCATTTCTCAGAAGAGCATCACGTCCTTACACTATGTGCTAACAGAAGGTTATTATTCTCAGTTACACAGATAACTTTAGGCAGACACCAAGCTCAGAGATCCAGTAAGAAACATTTCTAAGAAATACAAAGGTTCTCATTGTCTATTCAGTTATCAAAATTGGTACGTCATGATCCATGTGCTCTTAAGTACGTTCATAGAATAACAGAATATCCCAAGTGAGAAGGGATCCGTAAGGATCGTTGAGTCCAACTCCTGCCTCCACACAAGACCACCCAAAAATCAGACTGTATGTCTAAGTGTGCTGTCCAGCTGCTTCATGAATTCTGCCAAGCTCAATGCTACAACCACTTCTCCAAAGAGGCTGTTCCAGCACCCTTATCACTCCCTCAGTGAAGAACCTTTTCCTGATGTCCAACCTAATCCACGCCATTCCCTTGGGTTCTATTGTAGGTCATCAGAGAGGGGAGATCAGATCCGGCCTCTGTCGAAGAAGCTGTAGGCTATGACGACTCCCTTCAACCTCCTCTTCTCTGAGCTGAACAAACTAAGGGACTTCAGGCACTCCTCATAACTTTGTTATGTATGCATAACCAAGGCTGTCCCTTCTCAGCTGAAGAATTGGACCCTTCATGCTGTTGATGATTTCCCAGCTTTCTAATTTGTCTAATTTGACCCATCGGGTCCCATGAACTTCTATGCATTCAGTTGAAACAGCAAATCACAAACAATAATCCTTTTCCAGGAAGACAGTGAAATTTAAGAAAATCCCACAATGCTCAGACTGGATTGCAGTCATCATTTGTAGTGCCAACTGTCCAATTATGGAGCGCTTAAAAGTCAAAGCAAAACTAGGCAAGACTAAATAAAAAAAGCAGTTAGATTTTATAAAAGGATAAGAATGTTATTAGGTACAGCAGGTTAGGGCTTTTTCTTTTTTTCTCCTCCAAAGATGAGGATCAAAACAACAAAGACTGTGACTTCATCAGATTTCTCTCTTTTTGTTTGATTATCAAGTCTATATAACTCCTGCACTTTTTACTTCCCAACTGTTTCACGTATCATAGTTAGAGACTTGGAAGGTGGCATATGAAGAATATTTGAAGAAACAGTGCTCACTCAGCCTCGCAAAGAGAAGGCTCAGTGGAGATCTAATCTATATTCCAACATCTAAAAGATAGCCACAGAGAAGATAATCTCTTCATCACATGGTAACAAGGAGAGAGAATGGACACAGGTTGCTCCAGAGTAACTTGCATCTGCATGTAAGAAAAAGAAATCACCAAGAGAACAACTAAACATCAGGAAAAAGTTGCCCAGAGAAGTGGTGAAGTCTTACTCACTGAAAATTTACAAGATTGACATTGACAGGACATCTGATAATGCATTTCAAGGCTCTCTTTCAAGAGGGGGCTCGGTCAGATGATCTTGGGAGATTTCTTTCAACCTAGACTCCTGTAAACGAGCTTCTCTTTGTCAACTGGGTGAGGAAGTCATCCATACCCTCCAGAAGCTCCCTTAGTCACTTTTTCTCTGCTGTATTGCCCTTCCAGATTTCATGGTGGCCGAAGTCTGTGGCAGATGTCCACAGCAGGATCCACACACCTTGGTCCCCCTTTAATCCTAACTCATAAGGTCTCATCTGGCTAATCATCAGTCCTTAGGTAAAGCTTCATGAGTTGTTGCTGCAGCTCCCTCCTTGTTGGCCCATCCTTTCTGTCCTAAAGGTCAATCCATTGCAGTGCTCCAGCAATGTAAGCTTTCGGAATATATTTCTGTGGTCCCAATGTCATCACTGTTCTGTAGCTGCACAGAGGCCTCAAGTTTCTTGTAATAAAGCCAGTAACTGTTTCAAAGTTTGTTATAATTAGAATTGCTAAAATAACGCAGTTATACTGTTGCCCAAAATCATAATCAACTGCACAAAATAAGCCTTTCAATGACAAAAAAAATGAGGACAGCAACAATCCCGTATGCTTTATTGATATTGAAGTACAGTTCCGTTAAAATTGCTAAATGTCACTTTAAAAAAAGAAAAACACATTGAAATCAATACACAAAAGCCCTTAACAATGTGATCAGTCAGTCACCTTCAAATACAAAACCTGGTCACAACAACAACAAAAAAAGGAGACAAGTTTGTACGTGTAACTTTATACTTATGTTCCAGCTCTCTCAAGCTCATAAGACTTTGCTTTCTGTGCTGTAACTACTTTCTATGAGAGGATTGTACACAAAGGTTGTTCTTGGGTTTATACATTACTGTAGGTGAAAACTTATGTGACCGACAAGATACAGATCTCTTACTGTTCTTCATGGTAAGAGCACTTTCTTCCTTTGGAGGAGGAATGTGTACTGGTTTCCAAGGAATGGGGTTGCAATATGCTGGAGCTGGATATGAATTCCCATCAGGACGCCCTAAAATGTTTAGAAAATAAATAACTTAAAGTTATTAAGTAACTTAAGTAAGTTTTAAATAACTTAAAATTAATATGTACTCAATGGGCTTTATAATGCATGCAGTTCCAACAATCACCTAGGGTAAGACAGAACAATGTCTTCAGAGGAATACAGTAAATGCATGTGACAATTCAAATGATTCAAAGTGATAAATCTTCCACCTCCTATTACCAATGACTGGTGTATTCCTCATCCGTATTAAAAAAAAAAAGCAGGTTGAATTCTAAGCAACATTCAAAATGCTCAGTCTTTTGTATGCTTAAAAGATGCATGTGTGTGTGAACTGGCTACATCACATCACTTCAAAGCATTTATAAATATTACTTCCTGTCACCACATATATAAAATATACATATTTTTTCCATCTTTGCTTAACTACAGCTTTTCATTTTACCGAGGAGAAAAACATGTAAGTTTCCCACAATTTAATTAATTGTTTGCAATTACTAGCCTCGGGGACTTAGACCAGTGTAAGAAAGCCTAAAACACTGCAGAAGGAACACGTTGTTCTGTCAGTCACTTGTCTGTAGTGAAATTCCAGTGCACACATCACGAGGTTGAGTAAAACAAAGTCTATGACACATTCTGTTGCAGGAACACTACTGAGCATAGAAATACTTCTTAAAAAAAATGAAATACTTAAGTGTTTGCAGCTGTCAGGAAGTAATGAGCTACAAATGCAAAACATGAAAGCGAAGCGTATCACCATCTACAAGCAGATGTAAGCAAAAGAGCAACTGGTTGCTCATCTGCTACATGGATTTTCTTAAGCATTCGAAATCTAGGATCTAGGTCCTATAATACTTTCTGTCACAAACACAAATAATAATAATGATTTGATTCTATGAAGAAATAAAGATGAAAGTATAGTCTATTTTTTTTTTTTTTATAGGACATCTAATCAACTGAAATGTAATACAAAATACTACTTCTTACTGCTCTTCAGCTTTTATATCACGTAGAATTACAAACAAAACATAATAACTAAGACTCTCAAATCTCCACACCATCATCAGCATTCTCTTTCACACTTCCCCTCAGAGTGAAAAAAGAATATGACAGCAGATGTGAGGAGGTGTGAAGCAATTGCAAAGCTAAATGGAAACTGTCACTCAGCATTGAAGTTACATCCCACGTAACCCTTTTCAAGCAGAACTGCCAGACCTTTATTAATCTCTGCATCTCAAAAACTGCCCCTTTTCTAACACGGCTTCTGGTGCAACAAGAGGGCACACGTTTCCTGACACACAAATACTAATTTTACAACAACGTCATCACAGCTGATATGCTTCACAGGAACCAGTAATTAGCCTGATAAGGAACTTAACAAGATCAAAATCAGTTATAATTTCGTATACCACATCATTCTCAAGTAGCATTCTCTTCCTCCTAAAGTCATTGCATATGCACGGTAAGAGCACAGACCTGCAGACTTCCCATGTGGAAAGCCATAACCATTTAATACAGGGCGTGGTTTATTTCTAGCATTATGTAGCCATTCATTAAAGATCTTCTCTGCTCTCTCTTTCTTCTTTTGCAGCTCAGCCTGCCTTTCTTTTTCTTTTTCCTGAAAACAGAACAACGTAAGATGCCTACAAAGCATGTTGGTATGTTTTTACAGGCACTGCAATTGGATTTAAATCAAGTTGAATTGATACTGTGAGCATGACTTACATGAACTTACATTAAGAAAGAGAGGAGTAAAGGGAATGAATATTGGTTTAAATCTCTCTTAAGACTCCCATTTACTTTGGTTTCAAGTTCCTTGTGTTGTGCTTTTTAGACACCCAACAGAGACACATAATTGGTTTAAACAGGACATGAACACAACCAGTATAGAACAGTTAAGTGTGTTCCAGTTATATGAGAAATTAGGAAAGTCTACAAAATTAAGTCCTTGAGGCCTCTAAATTGGTCTGAAACAACTTAGGGTATTTTTAAAGATAATCCAAAGGAATTAGTATATACACTTAAGAAATACGAATCTTTTTTGCACATTAAGAACGACAGCTACAATTACAGCAGGAACATGGACAAATTCTTCTAACCACAATCCCCCTAACACTTAACAGTAGCGTAATACAAATTCAATAGAAAAATAAAACTGTACCATTAATTAAATTTAATTACAATCAATCAACTTTAAGCATAATAGCTGTAGTTGCCCACTCATTTTCAGGCGCAAGCATTACCAGTATGTAACATCTATATGTAATTTGCCCTAGGACCCCAATGTCTGTGTTTTAGGAAGCTTGCAACATGTAAGGGGTCTTCTAGAGCACACTATAAAAATAAATGGCAGGTTAATTATTCAATCTGAGTTAACATTAAAATTAGGACTCCCAGCATCAGACTGGTATAGAGAAATAGAGAGAAAAATACTTCTAATTTGAAACACGTTTAACAATCAAGATAGTAGTGGTACTGAGAGAAAAATGACTAGAAGGATGCCTATTTTCTGCTGGGGTTGAGAAATAAAGATACAGTTTGTGGTTCCTATTTCTGTTTCTCTTCTCACATCACCAGTGCAGAGGGTTTGCTTGGCTTTGCAATAGAACTAGTAACAAATATGCATTTAATGTGCATCTTCCTTTGCTAGCCACACTTCAATGCATCAACAGTATAACTTTTGAAACTATTCTTAACATACATCGCTCCATCTGATAAATTCCAATTAATTTAATCAAGCACTACACTTAATATGTTAGGTAAAGCCATTCAAATACATAATTAACTGACAAATACCTTCTCTTTCTTCCTCTTTTCTGACTCTTCAGCTCTCTTCTTCTTTAACCACTCATTATACTTCACTTCGGCCTTTTCTTGTAACTGCATTTTTTCTAGTTCCTTTGTGGCTTTCTCTGCCATTTCTTTGCTCAATTTTCGTTCTCTTTCCCTCTTTTCCTAGATGAAATAGATCAAAGAGGAAGAATGTTAATAATGCAATATATTTCGATGGGCAGTTATTTTGAGGAATGCTTCTATTACATAATTACAAATACAATTATCCCAACCCTGAAAACAAAACCCACTCATCGCTAGACACAAGACATGATAAAAATTTCCTTTCAGGCTCTCTGTACTATTATGCTTACTCTGACGATTATTTATTTAGACATCTTTTTTAAAAGACTTCCAATGCTTTTCAGTATTTCTGGAAAAGAAATCTATGCTGCAATTCTTGATGAGCATGTTGTAGATTAAGAAGTCTGCTTTTCAATTAAACTAGAGCAAACCACAGTTCTAAATGGAAGTCAGTCTGCACCCTTCTGAGTCACTGCCACGCACATGAGCTCTGTCAGATAAGATACACAGAGCTTTATCACTTCTGTGTCTTTCCCAAGTATGTGAATATAATGGCACACAGCATTCTGAGAGCCATTCTCTAAGCTAACGAGCACATACTGAAGGAAGCATAGTCACATGAAGACTAACGTACCATGTTAGACATGAAGACGTGAGTGCCCCTCACCACTCTACCCTGTAGCCTTTCTGAAATGCCTGGGATTCTACTGGTTCAGTACTACCACATCTTAGCTCACTTAGCTCTGGAGAATCTGCATACACACACAAAAATCTATACTAGACAAACTATACATGCGACATGGAGGAGAAACAGAAGATTTGAGATCAAAAATTTTGCATTCATAGAAAAGAAATGCCGAATAAAAAAGCTTTTAGGGGGGTAGGGAAGCTTCTTAGATAATGAATTCTTAATTACAATACTTTAAATGAGCTTAGCCAGAATCATACAATCGTTCTGAATTGGAAGAGGCCTTTAAAGTCATCCAGTCCAACTCCCCTGCAATAAACAGGGGGACCTATAGCTCCATCAGGTGCTCAGAGCCCCCTCCAGACTGACCCTGAATGCCCACAACGATGGGGCATCCTTCACCTCTCCAAGCAACCTGTTCCAGTGCCTCCATACCCTTACTGTAAAAACCTTTTTCTTATATCAAATCCACTTCTCCCCTCATTTAATTTGAAACTATTTTCCCTTGTCCTATCACAACAGACCTTGCTAAAGAGTCCAGCTCCTCCTTTCTCACAGCCCCACTTTAGATACTGAAAATCCTCTCTCATGACTGTCCAGAGTCTTCTCTTCTCCAGGCTGAACAGCACCAGCCCTACTATCTCCCTACCCTTCCTTGCCCCCCACCCTTTCTCTCCTGAGGCTCCAGCCCAGCAGTGCCCTGCCCTGCCATAAATGGTTAACACTTTGGTGGTTGCTGTTTCTCTTTGGGCCTGTGCCCCCTGTCACAGAACTGCAATGACACCAGGCAGAGTGATGGGCAGGACTGGCTCCCTCACCCTGCTTTTGATGCAGCGTAGGATACGGTTGGCTTTCTGAGCTTTGAGGCCATACTGCTGCCTTGAGACCAGCTTCCCATCCACCAGTACCCCCAGGTCTTTTTTGGTAGGGCTGTGCTCTATCCTTCCATGCCTCAGCTTGTACTGATAGTGGGGTTGCCATGACCCAGATGCAGGACCCAATACTAGGCTTTGCTGTACATCATGAGCTACACCTGGGCCCACTGCTCTGCCTGTCTAGGTCTCTCTGGATGAGGAATGGATGGCATCCCATTCCTCAAGAGCGTAGACCACAACACACAGCTCGGTGTCATCCACAGATTTGCTGAGGGTGCACATGATACCAGTGGACGTTCATTGAGAAATATGTTAAAGAGCATCAGTCCCAGTTCTGACCCCTAAGGGACACCATTTGTCAATGATACCCATCCAGATGTTGAGTCACGGACCACTGCTCTCTGGGTATAATCTTCCAACCAGTTCCTCATTCACTGAACAGCCCGCCCACAAAATCCATATATTTTCAATTTGGAAAGAAGGATTTTGTGGGGGACTGTATTAGCTACTATTTGTGCTGCCCCAAAGTTAAGTAAGCCCCTATGTGAACAACAACATGCCATGCATACGACCATGAAAGCCAAAGCTATTGCTGAAGTTTTACTTCCAATAAGGAATTGCAAGGACTGGGAGGGGCCCCTACAGAATTGCAGACTCCACAGCTGCCCAGAAATTATTCTGCAAATAAATCAGGAGCGCTTCCTTTTTTTCTCTAGCACAAAACAACTCCTTCAGAAAGGTGGTTTACATCACATTCCCAGCTGCTTTAATAATCTGGTTTGCGTCAAGCTCCTGTCAATTCCAGCCTTCCCAGCTTCCCCCCATTCTCACTTCTTGTTATCCAAGTCTATCAGAAGGGCTAGGAATGTACATGTTAATGCACACGATGTCCTTCAATCCGTCCTTCACACGGCTTCCACATATGTCAGGGGAGGGGAAATCATATAATTTGCTTATGTGTGGCGTTGATATAAGAAAAAATTCTCTTTGATCTTGTGTTCCAAACAGACATACCTATTATTCACTAAACCACCAGCCAGTTGACATATACTCTAGAATATGATTACACACGTTACATAAGTTAAGGTATTGATTGTAAAACATCCCATTACTTATTGCAGGAAGAGCCTGTTCTCCTGCCACTCCACCCAATCACATTATTAAGCAGAAAGGATACAAATCTGGCCTGAAGGTTCACTGCTATGGGCTGCGATCCTATCAGGTCTCGGAACCTAATAAAGACTGGGCTGGGTCAGTACTCGGAAACCCCGCACCCAGAACAAACCCAGCCGTGGCACAAAGCAGTCCTGGTGACTCAGTGGGCAGTGTGTGCCTTACTGAGTCACTATCAAACCAGTGTCTCATCAGCAGAACTACTAAGCTTTCAAGAAAAAATAAAAAAATAAAAAATCAGACCTATGTATATGTTGAGACTTGTCAAAGAAATTTTAAATGTCACGAGGCATCACACTTCACTTAGCCTTACTTACTGCCTTCTGCCAAAAAGAATTTCTAAGGCAGAAAATGAGCCCAATTACACTGAAACAGAGACAACATTCCAGCTGGAAGAAAATTAATAAAACATACACTCCTGTATTTTCATATTAATAATTGACCGAGAGGCTGCAAAAAAGGATCAACTGCAGAGCTGCTTTATATTCTGCATTTTCTGAATACAGTCTCATGGCAGGGGGGGCAATCCTTAAAGGTCCCTTCCAACCCATGTCATGATTTTGTAAATGGACAGATTTCCAGAAATTTATGCTGTTTCGATTTTTTTAGATCCTTCTCACAGCAACTGTTCTCCTGTTTTCTACTCCACAAATATGACGTGTTTTTCCTTTCAGACGTGCCCGATGACCCTATTGCACAGTTCTGACATCTTTGTTTCTGTATTCCAGCATCATTTGATACTGAACGATTGATGGAATATAGGAAAAGACCACACTGTCAGCATCAGAACACATCTGCAAATTTCCTTGCATTACTTCACAGTAATCTGGAATGTCAGTTGCATTTAACAACTTCAGAAACAGGGGTCATTCAGCCAATTGTTATTATCTTTTCAATTTAATCCTATTACACAGCTCAGTCACCAACCCTGGCTCACATAAATACATCTATAACCTCTCCAGAACTGGCAAGCAAAAAAACACAAGAGGAGAGAAAGGAAGTCAGTGATACAGCACTACCAACAGGCAGGCTTACAACAGTGTTCACACAGTCAATGTGGACTTGATCATGGTCTAGAAGTCAGAGAGTTCTAAGACAGAGCATCGTTCTCCTGAACTGTGTTTCTGTAAAGAATTACCATGTGGGTATTTGAACAAGTGGCAAGCAGAAAGTCTTAGTGTACGTGGTCCATGAATATTCTCAAGGTCTTCAGAAGAACACAGACTCCGTGAAAGCTGCCACAAAACACAATTACTCTCATTTTAATCATCTGTCACTCCGAATTCAAGCTCTGCAAGACTACCCACAATTAACTTTAACACTAAATGTGAGAAATTGGTTCATTCTACTACAGAAATCTAAAAGTAAGCCTTACACAAATAAGATTCGGGTACAATCTAAAGTTATACAGATTGGCCTTGCACAACCTCAAAGATAAATGCAATGTGAAGAGACATCAAACACTGTATTAAAAAAAAAAAAAAACTATTCTGTAATGTATTCCACATTCCAGGTTTAGATGCTTAGAAATATCACTCCCTCATAAATATAATGAAATATTCATTAACTGGAAGAAAGGCAGCATGAGCACGACTTTCTAGCTTGAAAGTCATGCTGGAACTGCTGAACAGTCCGTATGCTGTATTAACAATGGTGAGAGGTAACAAGCATTCAGCAGTCTTTGGAAAAAGGGTTGTGATGTGAGTCTCTCTTCTGTAAGGAATCATACAGCATATCAAGAAAGAGAAGTTGTCTCCAAGAATATTGCCATTCATTATTTCATTCGTGATGGTTCCAACTTCCATATTTCCTATTGCTTCTTCCTTAAAAGGACCGTCAGCCAAAAGCAAAATAAATGATAAAAAGATGTTTTCCTCAATGAAAAACCAGCAACAGCAAATTCTCCCATCCTGTAATTTTTCACATGATGGTGGTGATTTTCAGCAAGTAAGGAAGTCTTGCTGAAAGAAATCGAAGAGGAATAAAAAATCTGGCCATAAAAATTCTAAGAGTAACATCTTTTTTGCAATGTCTTGTTCTCTTATGAACAACAACACGTTTGAGATGTTAGTCAAATTAATGTTGGGAGCAGATTTTTTTTTTATTTCAGTGCAAGGTGTGTAATTTTACTCCTTACTCTCTCAGCTTTGCTGGATACCACATTCATATAACAATGTATTACATGCAAGTTAAAGGATATTAACAAGATGAGTTAGAGAATTACAGCTGTTTGGATGCAAACATTCTGCTTTTGAGATTCCAGTTACTCTTACAAATGTGTATTACACACACATACAGGTTTGGGCTGGCATTAAATTTTCTTCATAGTGGCTTATATGGTTCTGTCTTGGATTTGTGACCAACACAATGTTGGTAACACACCAGCATTTTCTATAAGAGTGAACAGTCTCAAGGCTTTCTGTTTCTCATGCTGTCCAACCAGCAAGAAGGCTGGGGGTTCTCACAAAGCTGGGAGGAGATGCAGCCAGGACAGTTGACCCAAACTGACCAAAGTGATATTCCATATTACATGATGTCATGCTCAGCAGTGAAAGCTAGGAGGAAGGAGCAGGAGAGGGAGGGAGACATTTGGAATTACAGCGTTTGTTTTCTAAATAACCTTTAGGCACAACAAAGCCCTGCTTTCCTGGCAATGGCTAGATGTCTGCACTTAGAAAGCAGTAAATTAATTCCTGATTTTGCTTTGCTTGCACATGAAGCTTTTGCTTTACACCTATTAAACACTTTTTATCTCAACTCCTGAGCTTTCTTGCAATCACTCTTCCAGCTCTCTTTCCCATCTTGCTGTTGCACTGGAAGATACAGAGGAAAGTGAGAGAACAGCTGTGTGGTGCTTGGCTGCCTACCAGGGCTAGCCAACAGTATATAATGGAAGTTCCTATACATAAACCTAAGTACATACACAAACTTTATCTTGATATTTCTAAGTTTATATTCTACCAACATTATAAAAATGAAGTAGTTCAGCAGCTAATAAAGGTGGATTTCACAGAATTGGAAAACACATTAAATGGAGTGTAGACAGTGAAAAGAACTGCATCCGTGTCAATTTAAGTGTTTAATCAAAAACTGCTGTTGTCAGTCCTTACCTTTAATCTAACTACTTTATCCTGCATGAATTCACAAGAGGTTTCTGTAAGGAATTTATAACATAACACTCTAAGGAATTAAATGGTCACATTATTTTTTACAGACGTTTCACAGTCCGTGCATCCACGATGCATTTCTCAAAGCAGCTGGTACTCTGATTTGATAGCAATTAATCACTATATCACTACTTAAATATACCTAATTTAAGCATTCAATCCCACAGCTGTTGATAGGAACCAAGGAGATTCACATCTGTGGATCAACAGTTAGGTAAAGAAGAAACTTTACTACTGTTAACTACAAGCTTCCTACTCAACAAATAGAGCAGAACAACAGGAGTTGGTCTGTGTAACTGGGGTTCTTCACATATGGACTTGTAAGCACAGCAGTCTTGAAACCTTAAACCCAGATTATGCTTAGAATTATAACAGGAGAGGCTGGGACCCTGTTTACATGAAGAACATTTAGTGTGAGACTGTATAGAAGTCCATAATCAAAACCACCCCCAGTTCTTTTCAGAAATATCTGGAAGAGGATGTAGAGTAAAGAAGAAAGGGAGCCTGGAAGGACAAAGGTTTTATAAACCAATGAGTTCTGTGTACTGCTCCTCAACCATGAGAGACAAGATTCTGAGAGTGAAGTCAAAAAAAAAAAAAGCATGACAATGAACAGACATGAAGAAAATCAGCTTTCACAGCCACTGATTCTAACCTAAAGGAATGAGCCAGCAGTTAATTTTCAAGGTCTATTCAAACTTTAGACCTATGATGACCGGGGGATTGGAGGATGTCAATTCCTTTATTTTTAAACTTCACAGTTCAGCTGTAAGTTGTCTGCAAAGAGCTTGTTACTGAACAGGAGTCTAACGACAGCAATTAGCAATCAAGCAATCATTTGAACGTATCAGAAACATTAAGATACATTCTAATGGCTTTGCTCAAAGTGCAGTTCTGTGCACCAGTCAAATCCATTTCAAAATAAGGCTACTTTAACAATGAAAACGTGACGTTGGACAGCTTTGCTTTTCCAGCACTTGTAATCATACACAGCTCATTTTTTATCCGTAAGCCTAACAGTAATGAAGAAAAAGATTTGAGTGTTGGTTTCAAATTTTCTTCTGGAATCTAAATCCAGGCCTGGAGATACCTTCAGAGTTAAAATATTTTGACCAATATTGCTGTGACTTGTAACACAGAGCTCTATTACATCTAAAACAGAACAAACCAGACAACTTACTGTCTGCCCACAAATGACTCAACCTTCAGAGACAGAGAAAGTAAAATTATTTTTGCCCAGCAGAGGTCTGGTATCTCAGTGATTTGTAAATTTTGAAGGCATTATTAGAACCACAATAGCACCTGACAGCTGATTTTTACTAAGTTTCTCCTTCCTCGTGAGCTGCAAAATTCCTTTGTATTTCCATACACGTTTCACAGCTTAGAATGTTCTGACAGTTCACTCTCAACCTTCGAAATCACAAAAACTTACACGCACCCAAGTTTATTAAATGGTGACCACACCTTGATTTTCAAAAATTAGGTATGCAAAGCGACTGGAAGCATGCGAATCTCACATCACATGTGATGACATTAAATAAATACTGTCCTCAAGTACTTCTTCCTAACTTGAAGCTAATGGACTCTATGGAACAGTCAGAGCCCTACAACTGACACTGCCACGTAACCAAGTGCTACTGGCTTGATACATAGAAAAAGAGCAGAATTCTTCCAGGCCCACACAAATATTCTGGCATGGATCTGCCTTATAAAGATTTTTCCAGCAGCGTCCTGGGGCTGCTGAAAGACTTTGTGCTCAAGATGAAGGGAAAAGTTTCAAGTACACTCAAGCATCCCTCACTGCCTTCATCAGTACAGTACTCAGCAAAGGGGAAGGATTCAGATTTGCAGAGATCACAAAGGTAACATCCCTGAGAGGATCATCTCTTGTGAAGCACTTTCTGCATTCTCTACAAAGAGGAGAGAATCACCAACAGGATACAAACAGGGTGAGTGCTTAATAGTTATTTTAGTGAAGAAAACTGAGTTTTGTCCTCAAGGAGCACCTTCTCACACTAACAGGAGGAAATAGAGACCTTTTGCACATGCAATTATATTTTCTGAGAAAAATCATAGCAAGTGTTCATGAATCCAACCTTAAACTTCACATGAAATCTGTCACAAACACAGATTTAGCCACTGAATTGACATACTTATCATTCAGTAAGTGTTATCCACAGGCAATCTTGTGAAGACTTGCACTGCGGAGGAATATGCTGCAGAAATGTTAAAACTCTAGAGAAAGCTAAGCCTTCAAAATCAGTTTTTTCTTGCTTTGAGAGTGGTTTACAGAAAAGACAAGCCAGTGAATCATCTGATTGAAATGAAAAACAGATTACTATTGGTAAGTGCTTGGGACGTGGCCTAAGAATGACCATAAGCTTCCAAAACATAACACGTACAAGTCCAAACACAAATACTTTCTTCCCCCCTGCTGTTCTCTGAGCTGATGCTGCCATCAAAAAGACCTGCCCATCCCACTGCCAACAGAAAGGAAGGAGTTAACCAGTAAACCCACAAAGTTACAGGGAGGACATAAAGAGGTAGAGATGTACAGAAGCTGACTGAGATAGACGGACACCCAAAGAGAATATTCAGTTTTGAGCTGCGAAGTGAACCATTTTAACATGTAATCACACTCGTTCAAGCCAATGAATAGTTGCAGGAAGCTGTTAATTTCTGTTTTAGAAGGGGAAAATGTCACTGTGCTGAATGATCAATCCTATGCTTTTTGCTGAATACTTCAGTAAGGAAGGTCCCCTTCCTCATCACAGCAAATGCTTAAATCAGGATTGCTGTGGTTCAAGGTTATGCTAATCATCCAGTCAGCAATGAAGCTAGGAGAAATTAGGGAGCTAGGTTCAAACACAAGTTTTTCTAGGGGTCCTAGACTAAATTAGGCCTTGATACCTAGCCAAAGCACTGCTGTTGGGAAACTTTCCTCTGATTTTACTGAGAACCAGCAGTACGGAACAGTAAGACATTGGAATTGCTACAGACCATAAGACAGTGAGCAAATATGCCCATGAATTACCAGGGGCTAAACAAAACCAAATCTCCCCAACTCTTCTATTTTTACCACTCAGGACACACAGTGTTTGTATTACAGAGAGCTGTACAGTGTCCTCTTGAGATCAGGATTCTGGCTGCTTCTGACATGGGATTTTGGCATCCTCTCCAGAGAGCTGAAAAGGATTGCCTGATCCCATTGTGAAATGACTTTTTAAATGAAGAAATTCCCAGTTGCAAGCTGTGGGCTACCGATAATATCCTGAATCTGGCCTCACACCTCAATTATCTCTCTCAACTCCACCATACTATTTTCCTGTCCACAATGGTATTTAACTGAATCCTTTTCCTGGCTCTGTTTGGTGTACAAGGCACTGCAGTTAAGTTGGAGACTATAATCAATATGCTAAGGCGTTGAGCCTAGGAAGCCAGAAAGCTTAGGGTACACCAAAGATCAGAACCCCAGCTGTAATTAGCAGGCTGCTGCACAAGATGTGAGACAGCTATCAGTTACCTGACTATTCAGAAAACAAATGTCTTTGGGAAAAAAAAATTACAAAAAAAAAATCAGTCTTGGAAAATTGGTTAACTGTGTGAGCATGTTTTTGTAACTTTCAGTTGAAACAGACTTTCTTTCAGCAAACTAAAAACATGGCTGTCCAAACAGTCTAAATAAACGGCGCTCAGGTTTACTTAAGCACAACATGTGCCAGCATACTGGCAGATGACATATAATTTACCTCTTCTCTTTTTTTTTCCATCCATTCTCTGAGCTTCTTTTCAGCTGTCCTTTTCCTTCTCTCAAATTCTTCCTTTTCCTTCATTTTCTCAAGTTGTATATTCATCTCCTAATCAAAAAAAAAAAAAAAAGCACACATCTTTAACATGTCATGACCACATATACCAGCATGCTCAATACTGGAAACAGTGCTGAAGTTTAAAAAAAAAATATATTATTAAGCATTACATTTGGAACACTTCAAGATTTTGCAAAAAATGAATGACAGTTAACACAGAAACATTATGAAATATAACCAATGGAAATGTAGAACTTTTACAGTACGAAGGCAGGCTGAGGGAGCTGGGCTTGTTCAGCCTGGAGAAAAGAAGGCTGCAGGGTGACCTCATTGCAGCCTTCAGTACCTAAAGGGAGCCTACAAACAGGAGGGGAGTCAGCTCTTGGAAAGGGGAGATGGCAGCAGGACGAGGGGAAATGGTTTGGAGTTGAGGGAGGGCAGATTTAGGTTGGATGTCAGGGGAAGTTCTTTGCTATGAGAGTGGTGAGGTGCTGGAACAGCTGCCCAGAGAGGCTGTGATGCCCCATCCATCCCTGGAGGTGTTCAAGGCCAGGTTGGATGGGGCCCTGGGCAGCCTGGGCTGCTGTGAAATGTGGAGGTTGGTGGCCCTGCGTGTGGCAGGGGGTTGGAGATTCATGATCCTTGGGGTCCCTTCCAACCCTGGCCATTCTGTGATTCTGTGAACTGGAAACAGATATTTTTGTTGGGCTCAGAATTACTTCAACAGAAATCGTTCCTTGGCTCATTTAAACATCACTCAATGGGATCTCAAGTGGTATTACTACTTTTCTGCAATACTTAAAATTTAGATGATTTACTACTCTGTATTTAGGAAGGCATCAAAGCTAAGCGATGTATTGATCTGTGACATTTAATATCAAAACTATAGGAACATCAGGGCTTAAGCCCAAGTTTAAAGAAATCAAAATTTTTAAGGATTTCACCGAGTTTCAGAATAAGATCCATATTTTAAATGCAACAGAAGAAATTCTGAAGTATATCATCTTTGTAAGACACAGTAAATACACACTTATGACTCTTTGAGGAAATGAATCAATAAAGAAAAATCATGATGAAGATAATGTAATACATCAAGACCATATGAGAAGTCCTCAAACAAACCTATTTGCTGTATGACAGCAGAATGGCTTTTTTTTCATGCTTAGAAATCAAAACAGGGGGACAGTTGCGAAACTAGAATCTAAAAGGAAAGATGTGAAACGTGTAGACAATACGAACAGATCAGAAAATGTTGCTCAAGTTCAGTGTTATTTTGGTGTTATGCTGACCTCTAAAACACTGTTTTAAGACCTTCCAGTGTTGGGAGTTACAGAAAGAGCCTGAGGCAACCCATACATGTTACATACACTTTACAGATTAAATGAATCACAGAAAAGTGAGGCTGCTGTTCAAGGTCAAACGGTAAATCAGTAACTTAAGTGAGAAAATATCTACCTTTGATGCGATTATTCTAACCACTACCCAGTTCTTCCAATTTGACTTTCAACAATAGTATCATTCAATCAACTGCAACAACAAATATATTAATCACAAAAAGATAGGGCGCTCTCACTTACTTCTGCCCCAGTCTCAGCATTCAAGAACTGCTGGTTTGCAAGCGGGACAAAAGATGGAAGGAGGGAAAGAAGTCCTGGGATAGAGCAGCACAGCCTGGGAAACGACACCAAGCAGTTGTGCAATTACCCACTGAGTGGGTAACAACGCTGTGCCTCATGTACAACCAAGCAGCATGCAGTGCTTACACCCAGCACACATCCTGTCATGGCTAGTTTTTCTAAGACCAACAGAAAATAAAATCCTGGCATTTGATGCTTGCTATTTGCTAGTAGATTTTATGTCAAGCTAAGATACATTCACCTCTGCAGCTCTAGCTTGTAAGTGGGCACGTAGTTCCTTCTCTTTTCCAATGAACCATTCTTCCCATGGTGAAAGATGATCTTTCAAAGGCGAGCGCTCATTTGCTTCTGTTATTTCAGAGTCATCATCCTTCCTGAGCAAAAAATGAGAAACGTACAGGAACGTTATCTGTCAGAACTTTGACTGAAAGTCCATCCAGTTTTGTTGTCTCAAAAAATCCACATTTCTCTCTATTGTAGCAAAAATTACATTATTCTTCCACTTGTGTAGTAACCTCCAGGATGGTAAACAGCATTCTTCTTGTGTTCCTCACCATCCCCCTTGCATTCTAGTTACCAAGTTCTAGCTTGTGACTTTTCTTTCTGTTCCATACTGTGGAAGAGGTTCAAACGTTACCTTCTATGAACTAATCAAATCCAACATCAGAAACATGGAAGCATTTCTGTCACTGAGAGGCTCAAAGGAAATACACCTTAAAAAATACGGCTTGTGCACACTTAGTGATATTATACAAGGTAAGACATTTAGCAGAACACTTTGCATAACTCACTCATAACTTTACTCATGAGTAATGCAGCGATCCTACCTCCAGGCCAGAAATATATTTTACAATATTCTGTACCTGTACTCCCTCCTAAGCAAGAGAGTACAGTAGGCTTTAATTGAAAGCATGCCAGAAGATTTCTTTAAGCTCTTCTCTCTCTTACAAGAATTTTTTCTTAGCAACAAAACAATGAGATCAGACTTCACATTAATATTTTATATGAACACATGCACTCCAGAAACACCTACCTACACACTTCACTACAGGGAGCAACTCTGCTTGCTTAACTTAAGCTATGAAAGAGGCACCCAAACAAGCATATTACATAATGCTCCTGAAATGAATCTTCTATGCATACGTTTAAAAATAAAACATATATAAAGTCTTGCACACAGAACACACATAGACAACCTGCAGAGAAGAGCATTGCAGGCGTAGAACTCCTTGCACAGAGCTGTCCACCTGCTGTGATGTGTTATGATCCACACAAAACCTGAATTTCGTAGCATCCCCTGCTAGGACGCCAGCATATTCATAGCCTTCATCAGAGTAATTAAAATAACAGACTTGATAAAGTAGTGCACTCTCAAGCATACATTTGTATTTAAATACAAGTATCTAAATTGGTTTAGATGAGTTTGGCACAGTACTGAAGTTTGATGAGCAGAATCCACATACAAGTCACTGACATAATACTGATCTATACTGAAATTATGACCATTACACAAGGCCTCAATTTCAGCTCTTCTCTTCTACAAATGCTAATTTTCCCATGTTACAAGTTAGCCGGAGGCAGACATTTACGTAGTTTCAAGAGACCACCACCACACACCAACTCTTTGAGATACAGTGGAGGAGTGGCTGTGCAAGAAATGGCTGTTATTATCATACCTGCAATCTTGGCACTTACACGGGGTAGCTACTAGATGAACATCTGGTGGGCACCCATTAGGATCAGAGAGCCAAAGAATGACTTGGGTTAGAAGGATCACCAAGGATCACCAAGCTCCAACCCCCTGCCACAGGCAGAGCTGCCAGCTGTGAGATCCAGAACTGGACCAGGCCTGTTCCGCTCTCTCTGTAAAAAACTATCCTGGCATCCAATCTAAATTTTCCCTCCTCCAGCTTAAAAGGTGTAAAAGAAGAGGAAAGACTGCAAGCAGGCTGCCAGGCTGCTTCAACCCAAGGTTTCTCACTGTTCTCCAGATTTCTCTTGGATGTTTAGCTCTTCTTTCAAGAAACAAGGCGAAGCTCAGCGTCCCGCCTTCCCTCACTGCTCATCTCAGAGACAAGCTCTCCTTCCCCCGCCCCACCGACCTGCTCACTCCCCAACGGGAGGCCGTATTCGAGAGCGAACCGGGCCTCTCCTCCTCCTCCTCCTCTTCCTCGCGGAAGCCGCGCCCGGAAGAGGAGAAGGAGCAGCTGGAAGGGCTGAGCGGCTCTTCGCCCTCCGAGCTGCTGAAGGACGGCGGCGGCGCGGCCCTCCGCATGGCGGCCGACGGCTCGGAGGGAAGCTCTTACACGCTCCCGCGCAGCACCGCAAGCCTCCACCACAGCGGAGCTCCCGGCGGCCACAGCGCCGCCGCCATGGAGACCGGCAAGCGGCACCGCCCCGCGCATGCGCGTTGTGGAGACAGCGCTCAGATGGGCCTCACAAGGCAGAGCTGAGGGGGCAATCTCCTGCGCTCGAGCGGATAGAAACGCGCAAAAAAAAACAACCCGGCAGACTGTGATCTAAGCAGCCCTGTAACGCTGACTGCATCACGAAGCAGCAAATCCATATTCTTGGTGTTGAAGGAACTCTAAGCACTTATAAGTAGATCATGGAGCTGATCAACCAATAGGTTCAAGTCTCACTAGCTACAGTCTCTAATAGACAACTGATGACACCAGTCAGAGTAACAAAACGATTCAAGCACTGGAGACAAAAGTATCACTAGAAACCAAGCATCACGCTGAGTAAAGTTACAAGCATTTTGTTGGCTTGCTTTTCAGATCATACAACACCAAGTACAGTATGCAACCTGTCAAGCTTTGCAACATACAAACGACCTGTATCTATATCCGTACAGCATATGTGTCCCTGTACATACTAAAATAAAGTTGTTTGATGCCCTGCTAAGCAAACAGCATGAGCAAAGCTTCACATTGTGACAGGCATGAAAACGCCAAGTATGTCAACAAGCTGCAGACCAAGATAATTTCAGTATATCTTATGAAAGCCAATTCATTTTCTGGGCAATTACAGTTACTGAAACAGCAGAAATTCAGTTTGGAGAAGGCTCCGGGGAGACCTCATTGTGGCCTTCCAGTACTTGAAGGGAGCATATAAACAGGAGGGGGAATGGCTGTTTACATGGGTTGGTAATAACAGCACAAGGGGGAATGGTTTTAAACTGAGACAGGGGAGGTTTAGGTTGGATATTAGGAGGAAGTTTTTGACACAGAGGGCGGTGAGGCAGTGGAACAGGTTGCCCAAGGAGGCTGTGGATGCCCCATCCCTGCAGGCATTCAAGGCCAGGCTGGATGTGGCTCTGGGCAGCCTGGGCTGCTGGCTGGCGACCTGCACATAGCAGGGGGTTTGAAACTAGATGATCTCTGAGGTCCCTTTCAACCCAGGCCATTCTATGATTCTATGATAAAATCCATCTGCCGTGGCAATAATTAAATATGGTTATTACTAAAGCCTAAACCCAGGCTGACATGACGAAGAACAAAAGTTGCCACAAACGATGTAGAGAATGAATACATATGTAAGCATCCACATATATACACACACGTGTGCACACACCCACATGCCCCTACAGCTGTTACTGTTGTGAAAAACCTGCCAAAAGTGCTCACCTCAGAAGTGACAAAAACTTAAGCTCAGTCTTTCAGAGCTAACCAAATTTACACCATCACAGACTGCGTGCTTTAAGCTATATAGCAAGAGGGAGTTAAATTCAGAGTAAACCCATGCTCATGGACCTACAAGTTGGGTCTGTTCAATGACACACCTGAACTTCCAAATGATCCTAACAATGTGCTTATGTAATTCCTAACTGTCATCCACACTACTTGAAAAACCATTTTCCATAGAAAATGGTGCAGAGAAACTAATTTTACAGGTGACGAAACACCTGTAAGTTTCTGTAAACAGAAATGAAGTCAATTCTAGACCTAAATAAGCTACTATGAATTATTAGCTACCGTGATTTGACAACTCTATGAAATGTGAAATTTGCCAACAACTCCTCTGAAACATTTTTTGAAATTTAACTGTAATCTGATCAGCTCAGCCTCAGAGAACGTCAGGAACCTCTCGGTTGAATTTAATTAACACTAATCAGATTTAACAAGAAGAATCAAACGAGATTGCTCTCAGAAGTCACGTCTAGTTCCACATGTGCATTCAGGAACACAGAAAGAAGATAAAACAATCCAGCTAAAAAATAAGTGAACTAAATGAAGGAACAAGCTAAGGCATAGGCTACATACCTTTAGTTAGCTGACACCAACCAACCAGACGCCCACGAAGAATGTATGTCTACATTTTACTTGCCAACTGAAAAGACACAAAATAATCGGAATAAACGTAGTTCAGGTTAAGAAGTCTGAGCCTTTGCACTTTGTGACGTGGAGAAAAGTGGTGCCGCACAAAGCTACTTAGCTCCACACTTACAGAGCTGACCAAGCGCTCTCTGCCTGTGCACCAGTATTTTTATGCCTCTATCTGTAGTTCTGCTTAATTCAAGTGGTCTCGGATTGCTTCAGTTTTCCTTCATTTTCCAGCCCATTTTCACCTCTGCAGAATGCCATTCCCACTACTGGTCCCAGTTCAGGCTTTCTGTTCATTGCAAATACAGAGCCATCTCTTTTTCAAGGACTGCAGCCTTGAGAATGAGCTTCTCTCTTCAAGGGAACATGCAAGAATCCTATGAAACAAATCTACAGTGAAAACCCTTTACAATGCAATAGCAAAAAGCTTTACAATGCAATAAGCTTTACAGTGCAATAGCATGATTCCTGCTCCACTCAGTTGGCTGGATTTCAGCTTCTATGTAATCAAAATGCATCTGTTTTTGTACTGGTTGGAGATCATAGCACTACTACTGTTGAACAGCCTTCATTTTTTGAGCTACTTATGCAAAATCTTTACCTCAGCCCTCATTTAAAACTTCAGTTTTTAGCAGATTTATTTGCTTACTCTGGGACTGACATTTGCAGAAGGCACTAGTGAGCTATGCATCCTTTTGTTACTGGAAACCAATGGTAAAACTCGTAAGTTGTTACCCTCAAATCTGAACAATTTCCTCATAGTAAATACAGCCACATTCACCATTAACTAGTACTCTCAAATAAAACCTAAATAATGATTTTTTTTTCCTACTGCAGTGCCACTACTGCAACAATACGGAACGTGCCCGTTCATCCTCCCTGCACAACAAGCAGTAGATAAAACACAGTCATTTATCATGTATTATCCCATTCCACCTTTCATTAGTTCCCTTACTTTCTGAATCATATTCAATTACTAGCTTGAGAGTAAATAGCTCAGATTCTACTGCAGAGTATATGAAAGGCAATATTAAAAATCTCCAGCTAAAAATAAACTTATTATACTAGCAATAAGAGATCAAAAGCATCTATGTAATTAGAAGTTATTAAATTGAGAGCACGTATGAAATAAACTGTACATTGTGCTTTTAATTAAAAACATTACCCTGTAAATTAAAACCAAAGGCTTAAAAATTACAATCAAAGTTTAAAGTATCCCGGTACAACTCCGAGATTTCTGAGTAAATTTGTGATTAAACTCAGGAATTTCTACCTTGATGGAAGAGGTCAGAAGGGAATTAAACCCAGCAGTTGTCAAGTGAATAAATTATTTTCGTAATTTCAGATAAAGGGATCTCACCTGAATACTTTCTTAGAGCAAGTTGTCAGCTGTCCATAAACTACTTAACAGGGAGAAGGCGTGGAATATTTGGCTTTTCCCTCTGCACCACTGCAGAAAGCTTCTTGCTCAGGACATCAGGAAAAGGAAGAAAAAGCGAATCCTTTCTTTACTGGAAAGCTTTCATTTGTTTAAAGTCAACAGCAAATTCTTTTTGCCCTGCTACACCTAGTGCTGGAGTCCAGTACAGCAGATGCTTAGGGTTTCTGTGAATTCCAACAAGGATGTGTGACAAAGGAGGGATTAAGTACCTGGTGGCTGGATTTCTCTGCATTCTCCCCAAGTGATTGTCCACAGGTGCTGGGCATTTGGCGACCGAGACAGGCAAGTTCTGCAGCACTGCTTCTCAGTGAATTAATTTGAGTAGCTACGGCCTGCATTCCTTCTCCTCTACCAGCTGTTAAAACCTGAGCATGTTGCAAGACACTGGACTGACTGCATTAAAAGATAACCGCCAGCACAACTCAACCAACATTAGTGCTGCATCATGAAATACTGCAACTCCAGATGAAGAACATTGGACCATTTCAAAAGCATCTCAGTGAAGGCTCATTTTGTAAAACAGAAGACAACGCACATCCTTACTCAAGAGCACTGTGGAAAATTCAGCTGGCTTTTTGGAGCTCGATAGCCAGATTTCCTTCCTACTGGTTATAAAATGGCATCTGAAATTTGTTTTCATTTTCCAAAATATTATTGTCACCTGCGAGTAGCCGACCAACAGAGGGACCAGGTAATAAACCACCTCTTCCAAAATCATGGTTTCAAACAATGGAAATGCCACAAAAACAGTCAGCATCTGTACCATCTTCCAAGCCATATTAAAAGCTTGAACGCAATACATAATGTCTGTTATAAAGAGACTGCTTTGCAAAAATGTAAGGACTTCTCTCAAAGTTTTAACCTTCTGCAGACCAAGAGGCTGCATTAATCAGAAACGGTGAATCCACTGAATCCACAGTAAACTGGCAACTTTCTTATTTTTCTGCTTTTTCCTGCCCCAAACCCAAACCACATTAATTCTGCTGGTTGCTGTCTGCAGTTTTGTGCCTGTGCACCATTTTCCGCTTTGGAAAAACAGATAAATAACCATCAATGTTCATGTACCCTTTATTTGCTTTCAGTGTAACATTCCATGCTAATTGCAGATGTAATATTCATGAGTATAAATATAAGAACTAACAGTTCTGGATTGGTTTTCTCCTGTTTTTACACGTGAATATTTTGGCTTACAAAATTAACAGCATACAGTAAATAATCCTCCCATATTTTGTACAAACTACATGATTTTGATATACAAGGATTCTGTTTTTATTACAGTGACAATATACAACCACGTCTATTTACAATGCAAAAAGTATATAAACCACATTTTAAACATTCTGCTACTGGCAGCCACTATTGTTTAGGAGGTAGCTTTAATTAACAAAATGAAGTGAAGCCACATTTCCCATCATGTGTTCTATCAAATAATTTACAATACAAAGATAAAAATTCATTGTATGAACAGTATATACAGGTTAATTCTCAAAAACTGCAATCTAGCTTTAAATCGTAAGAAGACTGTTTCCAGAGTAACTGGGATGGCAGTAAATTCGCTC